TTTTAAGGTTCTTGCCACATTATTATAAAAAACAAGCAGGTCATAAAATGTTTGGATGGAAAACATTTCAGACAGTTCATTTTCATTGTCTTTTAAATAAGTGTACATGTTGAGATAAAAATCTCAATTTTTAATTCATGTTTTTCAACTCAACTCCATCTTTTCTTTTTTATTAACTTATCATTACAGCTAGAGATTGAGATCATTACAACTATTTCATTATAAAAATATCAATTTAACTTTAATTAATGCTGAACAGAATTTTTTTATTGAAAATTAAAAAATTATAAATGCGTATGAAAATATTTTACTTTCGTTTGCTTGAATATTAACAAATTTTCGCTATCTTGGCTCATTCTTTTCTTTTATCATAAAAATAAAGGTTCTTTACAAATAGGCGATCTGTCGATATTTCTGCAAGCTCGATACTTAGAAAGCCTCTTTGGCTCTTTTGCCAGTCGGCTGCCCCGTACAGTATATTTTTAGCAACAGAATTTCGAGGCCATAAATTCAAATTACAATACTCATTTAGCGTGCTAAGCTCGGCAAAGCAATAAATCAGGGCAAGAGAGCTGGAGAGAAAAGTGATAAAAGCAAAAAATCCACTGGCCGGCCGGTCGGAAAATGTCACTTAGGGAAAATCCTCGGCGGGCAGTGCATAAAAAGTCGGCAGACTTTGTTTATATCTCGATGCAAATTTGCATGAATTATTCAGGGCGCATTTTTTGTGTGCCTGGCTCGACCTGATCCATCACCGCTCGCCGTGCAAGGCCCGGCCGCTTTTTATGTATTTTACGCGCGGCGTCATGTCAACTTTTAATGTTCCCTTTTTGACGTGGAAAGAAACGCGAGAGAGGCCGGCGCGCTGAATTATTTAGTGGAAGAATTTAATATGCACACATATATGATGTGATGCTTTTTATATTTGGTCGGTCTGGCCTGCTGTTTTGCCGGCACATTTTATTACGGCCGCTACGTGCGAGGCGAGACCAGGGCATATTTTTATCAATTCATCCGTTGACAAAGTGCTGAAATAAGTGCGCGCCTGCCGCCACCGTTTCCTGCCTTTTGCGGTTTTGTCGAGTTTTGATAGATGGATGGCACTAGGGAGGAAACGGTGCACCCTTTCGTCCGACCACCTAAACAACCACCCTTGGCGACACGAGTGCAAAGAGATGCCAAATTAATATATACGTCAAAATATGGCCTTTGATGGATCCGGCAGTGTTGATTATGTAATGGAAAGGGAGCCTTTTTTAAAGGGTTGATGAAGAAAATTTGTTCGTTTACCCGCCCGAGAGGCCATCATCAGGAATCAATTTTGCTCTAAGCATCTGGTGAGAAGAATATAATTTTATATAAAATAAAATAAAGCAAAAATAGCAAATCATGCATGCTTTCTATAATTATTTAATTTTTGATGATTTATTAAAATTAATTCAATCCTCTATATCTTTTGTAAATTATTAGTGTTCCAATAATTGAGGAAAATGTGTGAAGTGTGGATATTTTTTTCTTGAATTTTTCCTACAAAAAATTTTTAAAACAATTTATGTTTTTCTTTATCAAATTTTTGTATGTACTTTTATCTTTGAATGATGTGTCTTGATTTAGGAAGAGATTGCAATGTACACCAATAAACGTAAATTTTAACTTCAAGATAAAACTAACTTCAAGAGTGCAATCTCGGCGTGCGCGCAATCTCAGCGTGAGTGCAAACCTTGTTCGTATTTTCCATTTTCTTTTTATGCGTAACTTTATTTTTATTAATACTTTTACTTAGTAAAGTCAAGTAAAGTAATACAACAAAATTTACAAATTTAATTTCACAACAAATAATAAGCGTGTGAATTTTTTTGAAATTCACAGGCATAAAATTTCAACGATAAATTCGTTGCCTTATTTTGCTTTGATCTAAATTTTTATAAGTAAAATTCAAAGAATGTTATATTTAATTTTTGTGTTATCTTACAATTAGGACAAATTAGGATTTCAATTTTTCCCTTATTTTTCAAAATTTTCTAAACAAAAAATTATCCGATTGAGAAAGCCGACGGGGTTAAGAAAAAATTTATGCCAAATCAAAGGACAAAATATAATGAAAGTGGGATAAAAAAAATATTTATTCAGGGACAGCGGGATAAAATTTCTCCATTTGGATTTATCCAGGGATAACTAAGTCAAGAGAATAGCACTCATTATCCTTTGAGTAACTTTAAAATTATTAAAAGGGAGTTAAAATGGAACTGCATCTTGAGAAAATTGCAATTTTTTAATCTATTCTAAAAATATTTTAGAAAAATTCCAGGAAATGTTTAAAAAAAATTCCTTCTTATTATATTTTTAGTGAGTTTTTATTGAAACTTTTAAAATTTCGTGTTTGCATAAAATAGTTTGTTTTGTTTCAGATATTTCTCTCTTTTCTTTTCCTTCTCTCCAAAAGATCAAAGAATATTTTTCAGCCCGTATGAAACGCATTAAAAATGAAAAATTCTCCATCAGTGTCAAAAATGTTTCACCTATCCATGCGATTAAAGCAATTTCCATTCGCGTGCACTCGGGTTCTGATGTAAGACCAAACGATTTCAGGAGCAATTTCAAATCAGCTTGTGTACACAAACCGAGGCTTTATGCGCAGAGCACCGTGTATGAATTGGTAATTGCGCCGCGATAGGTGCAGAGCGAGAAATGTGTTCTCCGGCTTAAAATCGCACCTCCAGAATACGACGAGCTCCATTTCAGAATAATTCATCGCAAGCCGATTTAATGCTCGGCAGGGGCAGCTCGGAATTAAAAGTCTCAAAGAGAATCCGCGAGTGCTGGACCGGTGCAAAGAGCACGTCCGTGTGTTTATTTTGCAAGTTGTAATAAACACGGCAAGAGCCTATTTCGAAAAGGCATGCAAAAAACATATCGAATGCAAACAAGCAGTGCTGCATCCTATGCATAAATGATGCGGATACTTTATTGATGCACCCCTTTGCAGCAAGTTCTGATTTCAGCGTCGCCTCCAGCGAAAGAGACAAAAATAAAAAAAATAAAAATGAGAGAACTTTGCTTAGCTCCAGGAGACGGGAAACTTTTTCGATCTGCGGGGCGCGAAAATAACTAACGCCGCATCCATTATGAATTTGTGTTGTCACCACCGACCTGCAGACACGTTTCTTTTTTTTTTCTTCAGCTCGTCGTCACAGATATAACTCACGTCAGGGATTTTCACCCTTAATTGTGATGGACAGGCCAAGTTGATGACAACAATGAGATGGCGTTAGTCAAAAGTGCAGACGGGTGCCAAGCAGGAGGTTTGAAGTTTGAATCGGTCAAGTTGTCTGTCATCTTTCTCATTTTTTTCGTCAACTTTAAGCATAATATGCGTTCAGTTTTAAAGGAGCTCAAGTGAAAATTATCAATAAAATTTCTTACTCTGATATTATAGATTTAATTAAAAATTTAAATAAATAAATAAATTCCCAAAGATTTATTTTCTGTGATCTTTAATCAATATTTTCCTTCTTGATAGTGAGGTTAAATTCCCAAAAGAGTGTATTTAGAAATTAAATTAAATTGGAATTTACAAAGAAAAAAACAACAATTAAAAATAAATGATATGGAAGTACATAAATCCTGAGAAGGAAAAGGCTAAAGGAACTTTATGAAATGCAACTTTGTGTATTTCAAGCGAGTTTAGACTGTTTTCAACTCCAAGACGTCGGTTTATATTAAATTTTGATTTCATTTAATAACTTTTTTGTTGAAAAAATTTACCATTTAGAGTAATATTTTTATTTTTAAAATGCAATTTCAATAAATAAAAAAAAGGCACAAAAATTTTCATTTTATACAAAAAACAATTTGTGACTGTTAAAAATCTTGGACAGGTCATTCCGATTATTACTAAAGACCTTTTCAGCAAAAAGTGAATTTTTAGACTCTCTCCAAAAACTAAAGTGGCCGTTGACCTGTTGGGAGAGTCGACAAAAATCAGATTTTTCCAACCAAAAATAAATTAATTATGTTTCTGGTTTGTTCAAAACTGACTATTTCGCCCACTCATAATAATTTTAATCAATTAAATTTCCTTGACACAACTAGGGTGATGACGATAAGGCACCACATGAAACAACAGCAGACATCATTTGGCGAAATTAATATTGCGGTCTGACACGTCTGTCCAAGAATAATACAATAAAAATCATGCGGATCGAGCTGGCAAGAAAAATGGTGTCGCTGGAAATAGCCTGGCCGGTGCTGCTTGTGCGTTTGTGTGTTTGAAAGGCAAGAAGTTTGTTAGTCAGTGAGCGAGTTTATAAAACCGGGGAGCAGAAACACATGTGTGCGGCCAACAATGAGGAGATCTATGGCTCTGACAATAATAAAATAAGCGTGTAAACATTCGACGCTGGAAAGCTTCAAAGCTTTCTAAAGCTTTAATGGACTGCAAGCCGAAAAAATAAACCATCTTCTGATGACGTCCGGCGTGCCGAGTTCGCAAAATTAAAACTCATTCGAGTAAACAATCGATCAATTAGGTCTATTAAATTGACTCGGTCAATTCTTAAGACAGTTCCGAGAAACACGAGTGCAAAATTTCAGCGCAATTTTACTAAAATTATTGCCGTTCTGTCGAAAAATTAATTTTGTTTCAAATAAATTTTTTTGATATATACTTTGATTACATATTTTGCTTGCAGTTTTTTTAAGTAATCAACTGTAGGATATGCATAAATAAATGATAAATAAAAAATTAAACCTATAAAAATTACAATAAAATATTTCAGATTGCACATTTAATTCTTGACACCTTAAAATTAATTTAAGGATAAATTTGCATTCTTCTTTTTTTTTAATTTTTCCTTTCAAGATTATAAAATTATGCATTTTTCACTGTCTTAACATAAATAACAACTCATGTGAAATGTTTAAATGTCATGATTGAAGAAGATCAATCTGGTTTTTTTTAAGGTAATTTCTGCAAAAAAAATTGACAACTAGAATCCTACCTTTAGAGAAGCGTGTTCCTCGTCATCTCGGTCTCCGTCGCTCTCCCTGGTGGGAAACTTGAAGCTGATGAGGATGGTGGCGTCGTCAGGTTCAATGTTGCCCTCAATGGTGCACTGACTGGCCACTCCTGTGTCTTCAACTTCAACCCCATCTGGTTGGGGTGAAGGAGACTCGAGTTTGGGCCGTTTTGGCACAACAACGTCCTCGACGGCTGAAGCCAACGTGCAGTCCTTCTTGCCAGCAATGGACTGATCGACTTCGGACATGTTTCTGCTCAGGATTTCAAAGTTCTTCGGAAATGTCCTTCCAGCTTTCAAAATAAAATAGGTTTGGAGAGGGCTTTGAACTACAATCGATGCGAACAGGCGTAGAAACACTGAAATGATAGGAATTTATCAAATATTAGTAAAAATTCACGCCTAATATATTTGATCATAACTGTATGTGGCAGGAATGAATTTAAAAATAGCCGAAAAAGCACAAAACTCACGGATAAAATGACGATTTTTTTGTATTTATGTAATTTCAAGTTTTGCTTGGAGGTTTGCTTGAATATATGAATGGTTTCAACTCTTCGCGCAATACTCACTTCGGTCTACTGTACGGCAGGATTTATTCGCAAGAATGATTTCTTCGTTTAAAATTGAAACACACGCGAGATTATTCGATCACGTTTAAAGATCCGCCAGACTTTTAAAAGGCCGGCAGAATCAAAACAAGACCATGTGGTTCACATAATCCACATCAGAGCATAAAGAGACACCTCGCGACTACTATTGAAAGCTAAATAACTCGCAGAGAATTATATCAAGCGATTTTTAAAAATGCAATGCTATATATATTATAATTATTATAATATATGTATAGCCGCTATTAACATTATAAAATTTAGCTTTTCTTTTTCAACTATTCGATCATGTCACATGTCACTTTTTTTGACATGCGTGATTTTATTATTTGTATCTTTTATTTCAACGTGCTGCATTTTGTACGGCGCAAGGAACTGTTTGATTGTCAATCTTATGTATTCTAACGACACACGTGTATAATATGGATAGGACGTGTTTCCTATTTTTTTTTTTAATAACATAAAATATGTTTAATTTTAAAAAAGATTAAGATGATTTTTTAACATATATTTTCATGTAATTTAGACTTTACTACAGACATGACTTGCGAATTAAGAAATAAAACTAAATTTTGATATCATAACAATGTAATAATTTTTTAATTTCAAAAAAGTATTATGTCAATGGACATATTTATTTAGAACACCAAATAGTTTGCACCAAGATAATTCTTACTTGAAGATTTGAGAGAATTGAGCTGAATTATCAACATTTCAGCCAAAGGGGGACACTTACTAAACAAAATAAGGGCTCTGTTATAACATCATAACTAATAACATAACTATATAAAAATTATATGTTTTTACATTATTTGGGTCTTTTGTATGATTTCAGTCAAAAATTACTATTTCACAGACATAGCGTATTTAAGAATGTTTACAAGTTTCAAGCCCCTAAAATATATATGTCGACAATTAGGGCTTCTATGGCTATAGCAAAAAGGAACAGGAAGGAATTTGTCTGATTATGACACATTTAGATGTACTAAAAAAACTTACAGTCTTTAAAAACTCTTACTCGGATACACAATAATTCCTAACTTCAGAAAAGTGAGCACAATTATTGCACTTGTGTTTCGTTGTAATTAATTTTATACAGCTTGAAAGCATGCTCTGGCAAGATTTTAAATCTATTGGAAGAAGGAAAAGCCTCCATCACATTTTAAGGTTCTTTCGATCTTAAATACATGTAAAATTCTCACAACCCTAAAAATGCTTTCTCAAGCTTTGATCCTCACACATTTCACTATTTAATTCTTTGTAAATATATAAAACCTACTAAAAAATTTCCAAAAAATAATATACAAATCAACAAATAACTGGTACTATTGGCACAAAATTTGATAATAAGGCTCAAACATGGCTGTAGTTTTCGATTAGTTCAGCTCCAAAGTGAGTGACCACATAGTCGTGGTAATACATCATGATGCAGAGTGGCTGACCTAAAAGCAACGACGCCCATACAACAATGTTGCCCCAGCGAGGCCCCATGTGTTTTTCCATAAATTTGCTCACATATGACAATGGCAGCTAAAAAAATAGTTGTTTAGTTTAAAACAACATCAATTTATTTTTTAACATACCTGAGACATCATTCCCATGAATGCCCAAGTTTTGAAAGTCCTCAATGGTACACTAACTAAATACTCGTGGAAGAAAGCACTGATGAAAAAGACGGATGTACTGGCAACAAGTCTATTGTACCCCATGTCAACCATCGGGATGTAAAGGTGCCTATTCAAAATTATAAGGATTTATTATTTAAGACAAAATAATATTTCCTTCTTATATTTACCTAACGGCCCATTTGTGGACAGGAAGATTCCACTTTCTCCAGAACACATCAATATTATTGGCATTCCACCAATCGTAGTAATAGTGTCGGTCAGCAAAATGTAAAAGTTCTCCCATGAGGTTTAAGAATGAATGGAACATTAAGTAGAAGAAAATGAGCCACACCAAATGGTTTGGAATCTATGGAAGTTTAGTTTTGAAATAAAATTTTCAGAAAAATTAATTACATTCTAAATTCTTACCGCTAATTTCAGAAGTCTTTCAATAGCCAGTGCAAAGTCATTTCTTTGGAAAATGTGCTGAAAAAAGGTTTTTGATTTATTTTCTTAAATATAGTGGTGGAAAATCTAATACCGAGAATGGAACAAGAGAATTTTTGACCGACGGAATGATCCACTGCTGGAAAAGGGACATCAAAACTTGGCATCCAACAATAACTTCCAAAAGACGTTTCAACAAAAACCTGGAGTTTTTAAAAATTAATATTTGCATTACATAAGTGTTCTTTAAATATTCTACCTCTTCCTGATTCTTGTTGTGCGAGGAAAATTCAACTCATAGCACAACGTCGGAGCAAATATGTAGTAGGTCAAATCCTTCAGGTTCAGATTATCTGGGTACTCGACCAGCTGGATGCAAGAATTGTTCTCCTTTTTCTTTCTTATAACAGGCATGTCATGGTGGTCCACATCACCGTTGGCTCCAAGGTCATCGGAAGAGTCTTTCAGAAAATAATTTTTTTCTTAATTTACGTTTATGAGAATTTGAAAAACATACCATACTGTCCAAGTGAAAGTGACTGTCTTCTCAGTCTTTTGCTCGTTGTGGTTTTTGCAAATTTTCTTTTATTTCTGCACCACAGATTGACTTGCACGTACGACCACAACTTCAGAAACAGAATCGAGTATGTAAAGCACACTACGGTAGCACCAACTGGAAATAAATATTTTTAAATAAAAAAAAGAACAAAAATTGGTTATCTTCTTTACTCAAACTGAAGTCTGGCCCCTTAACATTTATCACAATCATCGGAAGAAGAACGAGTAAAAATATATTTGCTATGTGAGCCATCATTCCTAATTTGTAGCCGATGATTTCCTGCAAGAATTTTATATACCTCAATAAATTTAATTTTTCAAGGTCTACCTAAAAAAAGTAATAATAAAATAATAAAAATAGCTTACCACCGATAATCCTTTTTCTATCAACAAACAAATCACAATGGGAACAACAGAATCTAAATTAAATTAAATCAAATAAAAATTACTGATCATGCAGAGAAAAACTACGATTTACACAGCAGAAGGATGAGGGAAGGGTGATCTGCACTGCCCTCGCCTGCTCCAGACAAAAACCAAATCCACTCAATTGGGTCGACCCGAATTCCATACCTTTAAATTAATTTATTTATTACAACATTGAATCAAGTGAGATAATAATTAATTGTTACTTTAAGACGTTCTCCAAGAATAATCTAAAGCCTCCCATGAACAGTAGAAGAAAAGCCCAGTTAACAAAGCCAGTAAAATTGTCGAATCCCGACGTCCAAGTGAAAAGTGAGTCTCTGGGTCTGTGGCATCTTTAGGAAAAAATAATTATAAATTACGGAATGTCATGATTTGGATTTTAATCGTTACGGTCTATCTGGCTGTGAGCGTCTCACTTTGGCTTCTTGACTTTGGATTTCCTCTGCACGGGTAACACTTTTGCATCTTCGAAGATGCATTTTGCTGTTGTTGTTGTTGGTTGGGCTAGGCACAGATCCATTTAAATCGTCCGACATGATTTAGTGGAAAGCTGCAAGGAAATAGATTATTTCTGTAAAATGTGTTCGGCATTGAGATTGTTCAGAATAATATTGATGTCATTCGGTGGGAGCTATGCAGTTATGTACCAATGCAGGAATAATAGATCGGTGGAGACCTTGAGAGATTTCTCTCGTGAGAAGAAAGCTCTGTCCACCTTATTTCTAAAACTAGCCAAATCAAATATTCACCTACATTAATTTGTTAAACTGCAGTTCAGGATGCTAAATTAGCACTACAGCATCATGCCGACATCCCAAATTTTTACCACACGGACTCAAAGTACATAGATAAGAGGGCAGAGGACGATTTTTTTTGTTTATCAGTGATCAGTGGCCACTGCGGTCGGACCGGTCACCAATCAAAATCAAAATAGATGCGCCCCTACTGGCTGCGGTGTGCAATTTCGCACTGTCATTGGTCTACAGAAAAGCCCACGAAATGCAATAGAGATTCAAAAGTTTTTTTAATTTGAATCTTTTTACTAAATTCCGCTAAATTCATGATTAATAAATTTCAGTCTATTATGCATGCAAATGTTTCAATCAGGTAGTTTTCTGAGTAATGGATTATTTTATCAAAATTAAAGAAAATTTTTCCATTTAATGGTTTTGAAGATAGAAAATTTCCGTTTATTTATTTCTCTGTCAAGCAAGACCATATTGCTTAGAACTTATACAATATATAATTAAATTAGACTTGAATCATGTACTTTTATATTGAACTGTCTAACAAACTCAATAAATTTTATAGCTCCGTCGTTGCACCAAATTATACATTTTCCTTGTTAGTTCCATAATTTCTTGGCTTCATCAGCCTGGATTTATACTGGAAAGAGGATTAATTAAAAAATAAATACAATTAATAGGGTAAATTATGCTTTCTTCTTACTTTGGGAGTAGGCAGACTTGACTTAGGAGGTATGGATGTATTTTTAACAGGAGTGGACACTCTTGGTCCAGAAGGTGAGTTCACGTCTATCATACCGAGTGGCTTGCTGAAAGGCTTGATGCTGGTTGATTGCCTTTTAGTTTTCAAAAAACCTGTAGCTTTTTCATAGATTTGCTTTTTCCACCTGAATTATACAAAATTGCAAGCAAAAACTTAGCAAGGTGTTAGAATGTGTAAGAGAAGAACAGAAAAAAAAATAAGAAAAGTAATCAATTTTTATTTGAGGAATATGAAAAGCATGCACATGAAATTTCAGGATGCAGTGAGATTGGAAATTTAATATCTAGATAAGTGCGCTTAGAGAGGAATTTCTATGAATTTTTTACTAGCAATTTATAATATGATCACATGCAATTATGGCAACAGAATTATGCAGAGGCAAGAAAAAAGCGCTCACTCATCCAGTGTGTCTGCATCAGCCTTGTTTGGAGTTTCAGTCGTTGGAGTAGTGGATTTCTAAAATGATACATTACAAAACTCTAATAAGCAGTTATTAAAAATATTCTTACTTCAGTCTCCTTGGAAGAATTCATGAAAGATAAATCTGCATTAAAAAAATGAATAAAAATAGGTGAGAAAAATAAAGAATCTTTAAAATTTTGCTACTTGTACCAATAGATCTCAGGCCAATGTTTGGAATTTGCAAAGGCTCAGCAGTAGGAGAAAGATCTAGCTCAGGTACAGTTTTAAGAAGAGGGCTTCTGAGTTTCAGATTTTTGATGATGCTTGTGTCTAAGTCTTCCACAACAGAGGCAATGACTTTCGGAAACTCGCTAGATACCCTCCTCACCTAAATATTTGTATTATATTTTTTAAGCTGTAACGAAAACCCTTCAATATACCACGTCAATCAAAGACTCTTCTCCGTCAGACAAAGGGTCATCCAGCAGGTCAAATGGCACGTCTTGCTTCTCCCATGGAGGAATTTCATTTCCAAGCCAATCATCATCTAGATAAAAAAAAAAAAAAAAAAAACATTGAATTTTAGATAAACTGATTAATTTTGAGAAAATTTTATCAGTGGAAAAATGAATACCTGGGTTAACGTTTTTGAATTCACGTTCAGATTCATCCTTTTCATCTTCTAACTTTCTAGAGGAATTCTCTCCTGAAGAAATGCATAGTTCCTCAAACTCGGCAGTTATGCCAGTAGCAGTGGTTGATTCAAAGAAACCAGCATTCATTGTGTATGCATATGAGCCTGAGCTTAGTGAGCCAGAGTTCACTGAAGCTTTTTCCGACACCATTTCAAAGGGGTCATTGGCATTTTGCATGGCCATGTTTTCAAGGTAATCAAAGGGGTCCTCAGTAATGCCATCCAGCTTTTTCTCGAATGTAAAAGTTGGGATACTCTGGTCTCCTTCAAAGGGGGTGCTTGTCTCTGGGCAGTCCAACGGATTAGAAATCAGTGGCGACACTTTAGTTTCTAAATCTATGTTGGCTGGCTTTTTCAGAAAATTATCCTTCTCTGGCTGCAACATCGAGCTCTTTTCCTTTTCACCAACTATGGCCGGGGAGTTGAACGACATGAGATTGCTGCTCACGTTGAGGGACGCTGAATAAAAATTTCAACCATCATTCAAGGTAAAAATCTTTATGAAATTCTACAAAACAGACCTATGAAAGCTGGAGACTGAGACGCCTGCGATGTGGCAGCAGGAGAGCCGGTGAGAAAATCCATGTTGGTTTACGACGTTCGAACCTGTGAAAAGTTGAAAATCAACAATTTGATGTGACAAAAAGAACGCACGAAACCTTTTTCAACAATTTAAACTTTATGATATGGATATGTTGATTCATGAAGTTTGCTTTCTGTTTAAAAAATGAGGCTCGAGGCCGAGATTTAACCGTTTCGACTTTTGAGCTGGGGCAGGCGGCACAAGATTGTTTTGTTTTTATGGCGGCAAAACCAGGATGGCCATATTGTGGAACTTATATCAACGCACCGCACAATTCAATTTGAATTTCATGATCAATAAATAAACTGAATAGATTTCACTCCAAATTTGATAAGTAAAGAAATTTTAAATTTGGATATTACTATAATAGGCAAAGCAAAAGTTACATCCTTTTCTTTATTACCTAAAATATGTCACCATATTTTTGAAAATTTCATTTGGTTGGTATACCTTTCTTCAGGGTTTGCAAGAAGAAACCCGCGCTCCCAGCTTGACAGTGAAAATCTTTTCTTGGTGAAAGTCTTGAAAAAAACAAAAAAAAAACAAAAAAAATCATGTTTGTCAATAACAAGAAAATAAGTAGGATAGGATAAATATTTTAAGCTACGAAACATTTTAAAAAGATTCTTAAAAAGTTGTTCATGCTTTTGAATTCAATATACATTAACTTAAGTTTATTACAAAGGCAATTAAATTATTTTTTGAGAATTTAATAAATTAGTCAAAAGTTGCAAATTTAACCAATGATCAGTTGTTACAAAAAATAAATAAATAGACTCGTTCTCATTAAAGCGCATATAAAAGCATTAAAGTGTACAAAATAATGTTGAATTGTATCGCAAATCGCAAGCATTTCAGATGTTGGCTATTGTTTTTCTATTTTGCTAAATATAAAAAAAAAATCAAATTTTTGTATATTAGTTTATTGCATTTAACCTATAGGATAATAATAAGTTTTAATTGCAGTTTCTGCGTCAGACCAGAGCATGAAGTAAATTGTACGCTTCTGCACCCATACATTTTTTAAATGCATTCTTGGGCATGCTGCAGCATTTTGGGCCTTGCCTTGTGGGCAAATAATTTTCCACAATTTCCAGTAGTTCAGAGTACCCCTTATGCCTTATTCCTTGGAAAAGTGTACATTTTTAATAATCATAGCCATACTTATTGGAGTGAAATTTTTTTTTCTGTTCAAGCTACTTTTTTTATTTATGACTTTTCCTTTTAATACATGAAATCTTCTGTGCTGTATAGTTCAAATACTGAGCGTAATACTTAAAATAAAACCAATAAATTGCGGTACCCAGATGCTTTCACTGATGATAATTTAGGTAATAAAAATAAGTGATCATGATCATGTAGAAATTGGGATTTTTTTTATTGTAATCTCAAAATCGTAGTGATTTAGCCACCATTGCAGCAATATTATGGATATGGAACATCTAATAGAAAAATTGAAATAATCACTTAATATTTGACCCTAGAAATCATCAACCTAAAGAAACTAGCAAATAAGGTAAATTATCATAGATGGCAAGTGGCAAATACTTTCTAGAAATTCATTTTAATAGCTTTGAGGAATCTATTATTCTAATGCAATTAATTAGCAAAGGCCAAACAGGGATTCAAAGCAATACTACCACAAAGGTTTTAATACAAAATTATAAGCAGCGTAAAATTTCAATGCTGTAAATTTTTAATTCAATGTGGAATATTTTTTATAAAGAACTGTTTAGTTTGTTGATGGCTTGGACCAATCTACGTTGAGGATCAAATGGTCGTAACCAAAACCATCAAGATTGGCAATGGCTTTAGCTGCATCCCCTCTGAACTTGAAGTGGACATATGCAAATCCTTTGCAGCAGTTTGTGATCCTATCCTTGGCCAGGTAAAGTTTCGAGTAGGGTCCAAAGGGTTTGACCAAGTCTTCCAAGTCGGCCTCTTGCGTATTCTCGGATAAGTTGGAAATCCTGATGGCCAGAGTGTCGTCCCTTCTCTGGTGGGAGGAGCTGTCCGTGTTCTTAGCGCCTTCTCGCAGACTCGGAGGCACATACTTGCTGCCCGAGTCCTTCTTATCCAAACCGCCAATGGCAGATTTTTTCTCCTCGGCCACCTGGTTGGCCAGAACCAGCGAGTCCTTGTACGGACACTTTGTGGTCCAGTGGTCACCCTTGCAGTTTCGGCATTTCATCACATTCTGGTCCATGCCCTTCAGCTTATTGATGCCAGTGTCGTCCGGCTTGTCGCTGTCCTCCTTGTTGGTGATGTACTGCAGGTACACATCTTCAGCTACGATCGTGGTTGCTGGGTTGGGACCTGGCTTGTCATTGGCGCTGTCTCCGAATTTTGGCCAAGTCTTGCGGTCGGCAATGGTTTTTGAAACGATGCGCTTCTCAATCTTGTAATGTCGCACCATCTTCACCTTTATTTAAAGATTAACTTCAGTAAATGCTTTCACCATTAAATAAAGCTATCATACCTTTTTATTGTCTTCATTGTATTTGTATTCGGTGACGATTTTCACTCCATTCTTGAAGGTTTCTTTAGGCTCAGGCAACCTGGGATTTCCATCGTCTTCGACCTCATCGGCCCAGCTTGACTTCACTTCCTCAGGCATGATCTACAAATTAGGACACAAATTGATTAATTTGTGAAAAGATATAATTTTTTATCGTATTTTATAATAATATTAATAAATGTGCCGAAGCGTTTGTGTTCTAGATTCTAGAATGTACATATTGCAAAGAATAAAAACATTAATTGGCGACGATTGTGTAAATGGTGGCGCAGCGTGGCGTGTAGTGGGGGTCACAGATTAATGCAATTTGCAAAAAGAAAATGAGATGGGGGACACGCATTTCCTTTTCTTTGCAATATTGAATAAATAAATAATATATTTTTCTATCAAAGGAAGTGGTTTGTTCAGATTTGAAGTCGGTATTTAAGACCGAAAATCCAAAATTCTAAGTTTCACTCACCTTTCACGTCGCGTCGGAAGTCGTGAATGGGGGGCGTGGTCATTCGCCAGACGCCAAGGCCTTAATCACCTAGCGGCCGTTACGCGAATCTCCGCAAATTCGATTCTCTAAAAGCTCCACAGATGCCACTGGTTGCAACAATGCAGCACGATTTTGGTTTTCCCCGTTCCAAGCTTTGTGTCGCGGCCGGAGCGTGTGTTTATCAAACAACCTCATGGCCGATGACTCACGCTGATTGGACGATGAGTCCGCTTCATACGTCACCGCGGCGGAGGAGAAGAAAGAGGCCTAGAATGTTGCGGCGAGCTGTGGCGGCGGCGACATTCGTTCACGAACCCTGATCCGTGTCGGACGCGCCGCGCAAATCGTGTCCTGCCCAGTTTGTGTACACCTGCCCTTTGCCGTAAGTGTTCGGAATCATGGACAGTCCGAAGAACAGTGCGTCTGCCGCGACGCAGAGCGCGTCCGAGGCGCAGCGTCTCTACAGCCTCTCCCTGTCCAAGATCGCGCGCTCTCGCGCCGTCCGCGGCGGCATCAGCCTGCACAAGAACCTGCTGGTGGCCACCGTCCTGCAGAAGGCGCGCTTCCAGATCTACATGGAGGACGTCCAGCAACTGTGGACGACGTCCAGCGAGCCCTCCAAGGAGACGGAAAAAGAGGAAGCCCCTTCGGAGCAGGAAAGTGTGCCCGAGGAGGACTTTCTCCAGCCGGCCTCGCCAGCCGCAGACCTGATTCCCTTCCAGGAGTCCGACTCGGACGCCGGTTCCGACAAGGAGAACTGTTTGCCCACCTACCTGGACTTGGACTCTCGTGTCCGTGAAACGGGACAGCCGACCATCAATGTTCTGAGAGAAATTCGTCCAGCCAACTCGGAGCCAAGCAACCTGAAGAGAAGGAAGGCCGTCAGCGAGTGGGAGACCGAGGAGGCCATCCTGTCCATCCTGCCCAAGAAGAGCAAGAGTCTGGATGACTCGGGAGTGGCTGACCTTTTTTCGGACTACGAATCGTCGTCGTCGAACGATTCAGACGAGCAGCAGCCGGACGACCCGTCCACCTCGATGGAGATCGACCGCATCACCAGCCTAGTGTCCATCTTCAGCTTCGGCAGTCTGGCCAACCTGGACGGCAGCACCTCCGGAGGAAAGCTCACCCGGACAGTGTCCACGCCGGACTTGTGCTCGGCGCAAGCCAAGGAGCAGATCGGTGACTCGTTACAGCAGAGAACAAACTTTATCGCCATGACTGTCTGATCGCGCCGCTGTCTGTCACGTTGTCCGACGCCGGACTGACTGATTTTTTTTTTATATACATAAATTAATTAATTGTTGTTGATTAGTTGCCAGTATTTGAACTTCTCTGTTAATTTAAAATTTTCCCCGTCATGTGATATTTGGGACTTTTCCGGAATTTAATTAATGCGCATCGCCATTATTTTTTTAATTTATTATTTCGTCCTCATGAATTCAGAATTATTGTATAATTTTCGTCCGGAAAGTAAAAATTAATTGCGGCAGTTTTGTCAATTTTGAATGGGGTTTCGTTGTTAGTGAAATTGTGTTTAGGTATGCGGGGAGGCCGAAGCGACCGACGCGCTGTTGCTATTTCCTTTCAACGACAATTATTATAGCCGCTGCGCTGCTTTGCTACCTTTGATTTCCCCCAGCGTAGCGAACCAACGAGCAAACCTCCCCTGTTAAAAAAGTATTTGAAAAGAGGTCCAGGTGCAGAGCACGCAATTGCCACGGCCAAGCGCGCGAGCCAGCCAGCATCGAACATTCGAGGACGCAAAACGAATACACATAAATACCTGTCGCGTTTCAAACTCGGAAAACTGTGAAATCGGGCGGCTCTGTTTTAAGAGCCATTTATAGTAGTTGACTAGCTCCTCTCACTGTCTCTGTGCATAATATATATATGATGGATTTTATTATTTTTATATCAATAAAAATGAAAATGGTTAAAATGATAACTTTTGTGCTTTCTCTTCAACAAAACAAAAATCCCTTAAAAAAATTTACAAGAAATTAAAATAATAATTTATATCAACTAATTATAAAGTAAATCAACTTTTAATTAATTAAATTGAGAAAACAAGCGATGAAATAAATCGAAAAAATATTGTTCTGTGTGACGAGTCGATGACCTGTGACGTCACGAGCGGAGAGCGGTACTCTTGCAAACCAAAGTAGAACTGCAGCACTTTAGAAAGCCGCCTCCTCTCTTGAATCAGTTTATTAACAACAATTTCATCTGGCACAAAAACGAATCCGCGTCAACAAAAGAAACTAAGGTGCATCCGGCCGCCGCCGCGTAAAAACGTGGAATACATCAAGCTCATTCATGTACCAAATAAGAAAAAGTAAAAAAGGTTTTTGCCATTAGTTTATATTACAATAAAATTAACTCATATTTGATTATATTCGCCACATTATCTAATTTTACCTGCAATAAATAATTGATTTTTTTTAAATTATTATTTTTTATATAATTTTTATTTTATTCATTGTTTACGTTTTGGGTGAGTTAAGAATAGATGAAATTACGAAATGAATTAATGAGTGTTTGAAGCCATACACACTTGAGAGGGGGATTTACTGCACTGCGAGTTCAACCCTGACCCTCCTTATGTGAGTCACTATAGCTGCATCAAGGGCACAATCGTCCAACGTTGCATCCGTCCAAAGTACATACACAGCGAGAGCCACAATAGATGCGCGTTGTTGCTCGAAAACGAACGATCCAGTTCATCACGTACGCCCCGCGCCATCCCTTAAAACGCGCGCAGCTCTCGCTTTTTTTGTCAAAAGGCCAGAGGGGTTGGTTTCCTTTTGTGCTCTCACTTGTAGCATATAATGAAACAAACTTTTAAATATTTTTTTATTTCCTCCACGATTGCACCATAAAAACTCACTGATTAAAAGATCAGCATTAGTTATAATAATAAAAATGGCAGTAAGTGCAGCGTCTTCCTTGAATGAAATTTCCAATGGGTTTTCCGAAGCGGGCGGTAAAAATTGTGACGATAAAATATCCTACGTATTTGACACTTTCTTTGTTGCTTATATTGACTATTGAGAGTGACGCAATGAACAAAGTTACAAAGCTTTCATGTGGGAAAACCACAGTGTGGACACAACAGCGCACTCTCTTGTAAATCAAACGGAATTTAATATTCGATTATAAATACAAGACACAAAAGGAAATAATTCAGCTTAATACTTAATTAAAAAAGTATCTGGAAGGAAGAAAATAAGAAAATAAGAAAATTAAGATTTATTTAATTTATTATCTATTTGCTAATTTTAATTTCATCATGTCTTTTCTCATTGTTAGACTTGATCAAACTAAATTGAATTTAATTTATTATGCATGCATACCAAGATTAAGATTAAATCAGTTTAAATCATTTTAATATTAACTACGCACATATCACTTGTCATTGAACTCATGTTTGTAAAATTAATTTTCTGGGATCCATTGTTGAAATACTCGATGAATTTTTTTTATTTTGCAGCGCAGCGATCATTTATCTGTTAATATAATCATTTATCAAATAATATCTTAATTGATTTCAATATAATTATGCAAAGTAACTTAGCAAATAAATACTTGCTTTCCTTGAGATTTTCTTTTTTAAATTTGTTTCCTAAAGAGAAAAAATTTAAATTGACGGTTAATTTTTAAATAATATATTTTACTCAAGCAAATAATTAAATGAATTTTTATAAAATACACATAATGTTATAATTCTTTAAATTATATTTAAACAATAAACCACGAGATAAGTGGAATTTAATTTGAACTCGTTTTCCTCTAGTTCATAATCAAATATTTTTTTTATTGAAACATAAAAAGGCCCTGAGATCAGTGGCAAGGCCGCCGGTCAGTCGCGTTTGAAATCTGGTCGGCGCGGCAGACACAAGTGAATCTCGTCCGGCCGTCTGCCTGAGGGACAAAAAATGACTGAGAGAGAGGAAAGGTGGTGGCAAAGCTCAGGCTGTTTTGGCACGCGTCTGCCTCTTGCCGGTCCAGGCGGCGGCGGCGGCAGCTGCAAAGCAACCCTTCTCGAGAACCTGCGCCAGGTGATCTGCTCTCCCTCCCCGCGAAAGAATGGAAAGGTGCAGCAGCAACGTGTGCCCTGAGTTTTAAAGAGCATCTGCCCGCGCGCGAGTCTCGCAGGCAAGGTGTGTTGTAGTTTCGCCGGTCCACTCGCGATCACTCGTCTGGATCGTTGGCTCCGTACGAGAGAGCAGTTCCTTGACCTCAAATGGGTACAGAAGCAACTCGGTGCGCAGGAGGGACTGTATTGTGTGATCTGCTCGCGCGCGCTGCGCCTCCTACTACATTGCAGCAGTTCTACTCCTCCCTGCCAAGGGCCTCAGCGCGATCGAGTTCGTTCAACGACCTCCAGCGCTGCTCGATCCACGCCACCAGCCGGTGACCGCGGGGAAAGTTGCCGAAGGAACGACCCGACTGCTGCTGACGTCACGCCGTACCTTCTGCGGAGAACGTCCTCCTGCTCACCGCGGCGTGCGATTGCACTTGCAACTCACCAAACCGTGAAATATCCTCACAGTCAAGATGCTCCTACCACATTAAAAGAGCAAAATTAAAAAGCAAAGTCTGCGCCAGAGGAATTTCGTGAAGAAAATGAGCGAAAATTTCTCCCATCAAAAAATATTTTTAATTCTTATTTTGAAGCGGATAGGGGAAGAATAATATTTTTATTGAATCGTTGAAAAAAAAATTGAAATAAAAAATATCATTTATTTTTAGATTGCTATATAATTCATACACGCGTTTTTAAACGGACCCTTTTTCAGAAGGAAGTATCATAATTATTAATTAAAGTTGTTACTTATGAATTATGAAAGTTCCATTCAAAATCAATTAAACTTTTTCCAACACTGTTGATTTTCAACACAATAGTATGATAACTATATTAAATAACTCAATATATTAATTTCGGTAGATTGAACAAAAATAACTGATCCCTGCGTTCATGGAAGTAGCAATTTTAAAAATTATATCATGTTACTTTGTTATTTTTTTTTATATGTAATTAATTTTTAATTTGATCATAATATAATATTTTCTATTTTTAATATCTCGCTTAATTGTTCAGATAGCACTGAAAAATTAAAAAAAAAAGTAGTAATAATTTCCACCAAGAACCCTTCAAAAATGTCTTAAATCCTTTTTTTACATGGGATTAATTAAATAAATAATCCAATTTTCTTGAAAAACTAATGTAAACAACTAATATTGCAAAAAGTGCCTCTTCCGTTCTAACAAAAGCCATCGAGAGGTTAAGGCTGCGGGAAAACCAACGGGTAAACACACTCCTTTCTCAGGAGCTTATTCTTTTTTCCTTCGAGTTGCGTCAGTTGCGAGAGTTCGAGTTGAAAGACGCGTGTGCGCCGCGCCATGAGTTTGCTGCACCCTCTCTCCCCATGATCCTTGCGTGCTCCATCGTACGTTTGTGTTTTGGTTGGTGAGCGCGTTTTGATCGATAAATTTTTGTTATTGAGAGCGGAGAGAATGAAAAGGTGCAGGACAGGCGGCAGAGCTGGCAGTCTCCGATCGTGGCTCCACGGTGATGCTGGGCAAAAATTACGGCACACCAGCAACACAGCAGAGCTTACTGCTGGGAACACCGAAGGTCGCGGCAAATCAAGTCGGTGCTCCCATTGTTGGTTGGGGCCGCTTCGGTCTCGGTGCTCTGCCCGATCCGGCGGAGGACGAGCGGAGACGCTGAGGTCATTCATTCCTCTCTCGCTCAACTATAAAATCCAGCGGAAAAAACACACAATATATAACATTGAGAGAAAATATAGCGCGAGTAACTTGATTAATTAAATAGTCAATAAAATGAAGATAATGTTTGAAATAGCTTCAAAGGGAGAAAAAGGTGGAAAAGTTATAAACGGTTCCAATATATTGCATTGAATAACAATAAGTTATTTTATGTAAGCTTTAATTCATTTTTTAGTTTCATTAAAATATCAAGTTTAGAAGGCATAATTTTTGATATGATTAAAACAAATCACAAATTTCCAAAACAAATATTTATTAATGTAAACAACAACAATTTTTTTATTTTTGAAGATTTCGTTCTGTTTTGCTTTAGTTTTTTTGAAAGTCTAAATCCGTCATAGTCAAACTCTACTTTTCATGACTGATAATTTATCAACCGAACACAATCTTTCATCACCATTAGACTTAATAGCCAATATTTTAAGCCAATTCAGTCGTGAAAGAAAATTTTGCAACGATATATGCCATTTTTGCAGCTTTGCAGCGTGCGCTTGATTAAAATTGGGCCCAATTTCAATATTTAGGCTCGGTACTACTGCTTGTGGAATTGGCTTTTACGTAAGTAGCGCGTGTATTATGCATTTTATTATTTTCTCGTGGCTGGCGCAAGCCGGCTGATGAGGGAGGCTATATAATATAATCAATTGCACAGCAGCGTAGCGCGGCGACAGCGGCGGTTGCTGCTGCGCTTGGGTTTCGTTTTTTACATAAATGCAAGGCCATACTCTGCTGCAAGTTGGTGCGCACACAACACAAACGGATAAATTGATACTGCTGTCGTTTGCACACACGTCACTTACAGTGCACCGCGGCATCCAAAGCGTCGAATACGTCAAAAGAAGGCAAATCTGTATTAATTAACTGTATAATCAATAATCAATGTATACGTATTTTGTAAACTGAAATAATCTAAAAAAAGTAATTACATAGTGCGTAAAATAACAAAAATACATTTTATTATATTCACTATACTATGATTTTTTTATTATAGAAACAATGCGTTTACAGTGGATTGTTAAAAAATATAATTATTAAACTTGAATTCATAAAACTTTTGAGTAATCGTCAAGCAATACTTAAATTTCACATAACGCGCATTAATTTATTCTTAAAAATTGCGACGAATTAATGAGAATTATGCTGGTTCTATAT